ATTTAGTTTATAAACTATGAAATTTATAAATGTATGACTATATGGTGAAAAACTGACTTTGAAAAATAAATCTGTTCTTTTTTTTCTTTTAAAAAGGCTAAATAAAACAAAAATATTGGTGGTAATTTTTGACTGTGTAACTTTACAAACGGCACCCGATCGGCCTGAGAGAAAGACTTGCTCTGGGTATTTCAGTCTGTTGCAGCTGCAGACCAGTACAGCAGAAGTGGACAGTTGCTTGCCTGCTATATTTATCATATTTGCCACAGTGGACAAACCCTTTGTGGCTGCGCTCCGCTGCACCGTCTCTGTCCTGCTTTAGTGTCAGATTTCACTATCCTGGTATCTCTTGCTTTGCATCAGCAGAGCAGAGCGGTGGTGTTGACACAGGGAGCAGTCGTTGGCCAATAGACAGGACGCCGCCTTCTGTCGTTTGTGTGTGTTTGCTTTAATTTTTAATGAGATGGATCAACTAAACTTGCATTTCTGTTTGTCTTCTGGTTGCTGAGCTGAAGATCAGAAAAAACAGTGGAGGAAATGACCATTTGCCTGTACGAGTGTCTGAGAGCTGCTGGGCTGCAGCATCATTATGAAGGGTAAGCAGACACCGTCAACGCCAAACAATCCTTATACTCTCCAGTAACATACCTGCATATTTTTTGTTTTCTGTCTCTTAGGTTTACCTTGGTGGGTGTACGCCATGCAGCCCACCTTCCAACTTTAAGAATGGAGGACTACCCACTCCTGGGGGTTCACTCTATGGAGGACAGAACTCGACTTTTCCATCTTGTTCAAATGGTCAAAACTCTTGACCTTAAGAGCCTCGTGAACGACGACGTCTTGATTTATAACGAAAATGTTTATGATGGAGGTGATGGAGACTACTCTGCAGGGGATGGTAGATTCAGTTCTGATGGTTGTGGAAGTTCTGGTGAAGATTTGAGTGGAGATCAGGGTGAAAATAAAACTCCGATGCAAAGCTTCAGTTTTGCTAGACCAACACGCGCTCAAAGACGACTTGAATTCACTGTTGAATCTTCTCATCCCGTTCATGTCTGTGCAAAACCTAACAAAAATAATCTGCCTGTTCACGGAAAAGAATCAGCCACATCCGTGCGGCACAATGTTTTCAGCAGAAAGTTGGTGCTAAATGGTCACCGAGAGAGCGGGAACGATAATTTGGATGTCCTTAAACGTTTACACGATTGTCAAAATGAAGAAAAGCTACAAATTGCACGAGGACCTTCTGTGTTCAACTACGATGCTAGTTTACTACCAAAGAGTAAAACATCCCACAAACATTATCCCAGTCCTGTAACAGTGCCATTCAAAACATTTAACAACAAATCGTTTGGACTGAAAGACAGACAAAGACTCTCTAAAGACATGACTAAGCCCATACCAGTTTATGAAGCAAAAAGAACAGCTGGCTACAACTACGGCCTCCCTCTGAGTTCTCCTCATGCTCCAAACTACAAGTGAGCTCACATTTCATTTATTCACACTCACTCAATTTGTAAAAGGTAGGATTTAATAACTTATTTGGATTTTTACTATAATTTGCGCATGTATGTGTGTGTCAGGCATGCAGGAAGGCAAAGGATCAGCGTGTGTGTGAGGAAGCGACCTTTGACTCGTGCAGAGGGCAGGAGAGGGGAGACAGATGTTGTGACAACACCCGGTGGAGACTGTGTGGTTGTTCATGAAGGCAAAGAAGCTGTGGATCTCACAGAGTACATACTTCAGGTAGAAGAGCAAAGAGGAAACAAGAATTCTAAAACTAGGGAAAACGTTCCCACACCCAAATTTTGACCTGGTTTTGTTTATTTCTAGTAAATCTCCCGAATGTTGTTGTTTTACAGCACAGGTTCTACTTTGACCATGTTTTGGGGGAGGAGAGCTCCAATGAAGAGGTGTATCGAAAAACAACGTCTCCTCTGGTGCAGCACATGCTCAGCGGGTAGGTTGACCCTGATGCAAATGGAGGTTTGTCTTCACAAAGGCTTTAACCATGTAGTTTTGAGCACACGATCCAATCTTACCCACTTTATATTTGTGTATCCACAGAGGGAAGGCCACCTGCTTTGCATACGGACAAACAGGTGCAGGGAAGACTCACACCATGCTGGGTTCATCTTCTGGGGGTCCTGGGTTGTATRCTCTTGCAGCTCAGGGCATTTTTGCTCACCTGTCTGCCACTCACTCAAACTACTCCCCTCAGCTGGTTTATGTCAGTTTCTTTGAAATCTACTGTGGCCAGCTGTACGACCTGTTGGACCACAGAAAAAGGTTCAGCTGTTGTTGTTTTAAATGTTTTATACCTGTTTATATTAGCTTCAGTCAAGCTTTCTTTACTGGTTAGCCCAATTTTATTTTACAATGATCACATTAAATAGCCACAATCTTTTATTTTTGGTGTGCAGAGTTGAATTAAAGCTCATTAACATGYTTTTCTTGATATTCTCCTCTTTCCATCCCTCTGAAGGTTATTTGCCAGAGAGGATGGACAGAAAATGGTTCATATTTCAGGGCTGCGTAATGTCAGAGTGGATTCTGTCAACTCACTGCTGGAGGTCTGCACCTTTATTTCAAAACTGCTTTCCATATATAAGTAATGTCTTGTAATTGATGCACAATTAGACATTTAAAAATGACAAATCTTGCATTAACAAAAAAACAGACGACTTACCAAATGCAGGCCTCTAAGCCTATCTAACTTGTCTAAATATGTTTACATCCAAACACTTTAATCAGCTGACTAATTACTGCATATAGTTCAAATATTATCCCCCAGGAGTTTCTTTTGTGAGTTTGTGGGTTTGAAGAAATGATTGCTGCTGTCTCTGTGACCAACTTTTGTCATTTTCTTTCTCACCTACTGCACTCATCATTGCCATTCAAGGTGATTTCTCAGGGAACAGCGGAGCGAACACAAGGGACGAGCGGCGTCAATCCACGCTCTTCTCGTTCACATGCATTGCTTCAGATTCAGCTCCGAGATTTAAATCTGCAGACAGCTGGAAGGTAAAATGTAACAGTATTGGTGCAAGTTTCTGTTGTTTGTTTTGGCTGTGGGTTATTTTTCCAAATTGGTGGAGATGTGTGTTTTTTTTTTCATCTGTTTTTTTTATTATTTGTTTTGGAATCGAAATGAGTTCAAATCCATCCATGATGCACATTTATTTGTTTTTGAGATTTATGTTGTTTGTCACGCATCATAATTTTGACATAAAGTAGATAGCCTTCCAAAAGGGCTATTGGTAAATACTTTGTTTGTGTTATTATAGTATTTGTCCATTGCAGCTGACCAAAATCAGGGACGATGACGTGAAACAGGAAGGSAGGTCGTACTCCATCAAACTTTCATCTTTTAAAACCCCAGAGGAAACACACTCAATGCACCATTACACTAAGAAATGAGAACATTTAAAGGTGCTCTTAAAGCCAAATATCCCTTAAATTCTCAGAATATAAGTGAACTTGTAAAATTATTGTGGATTTTGAATAAAAGTAAGTATCTTACCAAAAAATTACTTTGGTAAAAGTTGAAGTCTCCTTTAGGAATATTACTTGAGTAAAAGTCTTAAAGTATCTGATGTTTTTTGTACTTAAGTATTAAAAGTAAAAGTATTGATTTTAAATGAGCAGTTAGATTTTCTGTAATGACATTTATTAGGAGGTCCCCCCCCCCCCAAAAAAAAAAAATGCAGAAATGACTGTCGTATTAAACTAATTAATTTATGTTCAATTTAAGATGCACAAGTCTAGCTGTTTCAGTTTATATACATATATCAAGGCTGCGCAAACATTTTCCCGAAAATGAAAATCTATCTGAGGGCTGCGGCCAAATGCAATAATATAATTCATGAAATACAAAATACTTCTTAAGTACAGTCCTTTTATTTTAATGATTATGTCCTGCTGGAGTATGACATGATTTGTCTGTGTACAAACTAATACGCTATCAGAGTTTTATATATTTATACTTCAACCACAGTTAAATTCACTCTTTTCTAGGAGGCTCAATTTATATGGATAGTATTTATTTTTWTACAATAACAAGYTGGAATAAAAACAAGCAAAATTAAATAAAAGTAACGGATTTCTACTTATTGTCTTTTTAAAAAATGTAAGGAGTAGAAAGTACAGATAATTGTGGGAAAATGTAAGAAGTAGAAGTAAAAAGTAGGCTGAAAAATAATTACTCAAGTAAAGTACAGATATCCAAAAATTCTACTTAAGTACAGTAACAAAGTATTTGTACTTGGATACTTTACAACTCTGGGTTTAGGTGAACTAGTGGGCTTGTTTTCTTTCCTCTAGCGCTCCTCAATGTATAATGTCAGCCAAAAGATCACAAACTTTCTGATGAATTTGTCCTTTCAGGCTCAGAGTAATTGGGTTGAGATAGAAACGGGGCATTAACATTTCAGTAAAATAATTAAACTTAGTGATGTTTTTGTGTGTTTGTGGGCAGGATGTGCTTTGTGGACCTGGCAGGAAGCGAGAGAGCATCAGATGCCAAAGAACCAGACCGACAGACTCGTATGGAGGGAGCTGAGATCAACCAGAGCCTGTTGGCTGTATGTTACACAGACATCCGATTTAAAAACAATTCAGAATACATATTTATTTTTCTTGATTTAACTATTAACCCCCTTTCAGCTTAAGGAATGTATTCGGTCTCTTGATAAAGAGGAATCTCACACACCTTTCCGACAAAGCAAACTTACTCAGGTAATCCTGATGCTGCTAATGATACAAATATGTATACAGTTTTCCTCGTTTCTTGACTTTGAATGTTAAAACTCGTGTCTGTTTGCATTTTAAATGGCTTTATTTTCATTTTAGGTTTTGAAAGACTCGTTTGTTGGTGACTCAATGACATGCATGATTGCCAACATCTCACCGGGTCACCAAGCAACAGAACACACGCTAAATACGTTGAGATATGCGGATCGGTAGGTGTCTGGTCTATATGTGTAAGTAGATGTAATCCTCACGTCTATCTGAGACGACATATGTGCTTATTTTTTACAGTGTGAAAGAGCTGAGGGGACAAGGTGAGAAAAAACTATGYGAGACGAGACCCTCCTCCAAGCATAATGTGTCAGAGAGCAACAAGAGCCAAAGCAATGTTGGCGCCCTGATAAAGCGTAAATTAAAGAAACAAAGTGCTTCTTTTAGTCCTAACACATCCGCAGCAAGGCTACACACAGAGGACACATTTCTCTGCTCAACACCAAAGAACAGTAGATGTGGACAGAAAACCCAATCAAGAAACAGAAGAGAAATGGGATTTGATCAAATTACACCGATTAGAAGTTGGCTCGCACATGATGCTGCTGGGGGTTGGAGTAAAAGAGMAGATGAAAAAGAGGGCGGGAGAATGGAAAATGCAAAGTATGGAAGCTGTAACCGTGTTAGAGAGAAAAGTACCAGGGCAGCACTGGTGATTGAAGAACGAAACAAACGCCATCAAAATACAGACAAAGCCATAGAGGGTTGTTTAGCTGTCGCTAAATTGGAATCTGGATTCCAACTCAGAGAAAAAGAGATGTCTCAGATCGTTACAAAGGGGGGAAGAAAAGAGCAAATGAAGTCCACAGAAGCAAGAGGAAAAACAGAAAGCCTCTACAGATGTAGAAACAATGAAGGAGAGGAGCAAAGAAAAGGAGAGATGCTTAAGGGTGACAATAAGGAGAAAATGAAGCGTCTGAGACAGTATCATCAGCAGCTGCAGCAGTTTTTACCCTCGTCAACTTCTTTATCTGTCCATTTCCAATCATCATCCACATCTCTCTCTTCCTCCATTCATGACTCCCTTCCTTCACTCCTGCACTCGTCYTGCCTGCCTGATCATAAGTTGAAAGGTTTTTCAAACGTAAACACGGACAAAATTGAGGTTGATTGTACAAGAAGGCAAATTYCTTCGCTGAGTGCTCAAGCTTCTTTACAAAATGAACCCTCTAATTACTGTCTGAAAACTGATGTGGACGCTTATGGCAGCTATGGTGGTGTAAGGGAAGATCGAAAGGTAGGAAAGTTTGAAAGTGAGAYGAAGAGGTTGGAAACCGATGAAGAACACACCAGGAGAGAACCCAAGTGGTGCTCTTGGGTGGCTGAGGAAGAGTCTGCAAACAGAACAAGTACACTTCCAACAAAAATGTCATCACGGCTATTTTGTAGCTGGGATTCAGAGGACAAAGGAGATCTGAGTGTAGGAGAGCTGGATGCATCAGATGCTCCTGATAATGGAGTGTGGGGCATTGGGCAGGTAGAAGCAGCTGATTACCGCAGTTTACAGACTGCTCACAGCAGCAATGAAAGCAACAACCACTTTAGTCAGACTCCTTTTGAGTCGCAGCATCAACAAGCTCCTGCAGAGAGACCGCTTTCTCCAGCGGATGAAAACCCTATCGCAATTGTGACGTCTGACAATCTTAAGGACACTTGTCGTAAATCTAAACAGGATTGCAATACTCTTGTTTTACCATTTCAAAATATTCCAGAAGCAGCATCGCCAAACAGTGCTAGCAGAAGACCATTTTCATGTGTTCAACCTGTTCCAACCAACGTGACATTGACCGAGTCCCTTAATAAATGGCCAGAACATCACGTTYCCACAAAATCAGGCAGCCGTCAAGACTTCAAAGCCAAAATGCCTATTCTGCCTCAAGATGAGTCGTATTTGGAGTCCTCAAGCTACACCATGGACCCTCTGAGCCTCTCCCTGCTTCATGTGGACCAACAACCTGCAACAGCCTCGTTCCTCCAGGGGCACACCAGCAATGGAGAAGATAAGAAAGGGGAAACTGGAGAAGAAAGTCTTTCAAGTGTAGAAATGGAGAGGGACATTGTAGAGGATGAGGATGCAAAATTTCACCTGTCTCTTTTAGAGATTCTCCACCCAACGGTACCCGCTAAGTCTGACACTCCTGGGTTTGCGCTGATGACCAGTCAAAAAAACAAGCAAACTTGTCATCAAACTCCTCTCATGTCTCTCCCTATCCAGGATAGGTCATTTGCTGTATGTAAATCACCAGATCATGAACATAACAAACACAAAACACAACTGGCAAATGTCCACTTGAATATAGTCCATTCAACCCAGTCCAGCATCTCAAAGGCTTCACCTAAACCAAGTAGGACAGCAGAGCCAAGTAATCAAGAAAGCAACAGTAGTCTGCAAATTAAACCAGCAATCCATTTGGTTACCATGGACAGCTTGAACAACGCCAAGTAAGCTCAATTATCATCCAGTACAAGTGAAAGGTTGCTAATGCTGATATAAAAATGTTCTTTACTTAAATAAATCTTTTAGATGGTGTGTCGTTGAGGCCCATTTGGAGCAGCTAAAGGAGGTGAAAGCTTTATGTCATAAAGAGGGAAAGCTTCTGTGCCAACAGCATGATATGGTTAGATTATAACACATCCACAGCTGCAAGTTCAAACATGTTCTCCTTTCATGTAGTGTACTTTACATTTTAAACTGCTTGTTTTAAAACTTATCCCTGCTTGTGTTTCCATCCAACAGGCCTTTGGGGAATATGTCCACGAACTGGCAGAGATCCTGGAGAAAAAAGCTAAATGTGTGCACAGCATGAGAGCTCAGCTGCAGCCATATCTGAAGTCCATTTTGTCTAATCACCACCCCACAACACAAGAAGATAATCACCATCCAGTTGTGTAGCTCATACATACTCATATTCTATTACATATATATATATATATATATATATATATATATATATTAGCTGCTTTTACAGAAACTAGTTGAGTCTCTATGGGCACAGAGAATTTGTCTGTTTGATACAGTAATCTGTTTTTGTTTTGTATTTTAATGGCTTAATTTATGTAACAAATTCATTTATTTGGGGATTCAAAAAGCTTCCCTTGGTGTGTTAAATCAAGACGTGTTTTTAAATTAAAATTTGACATATGTGTTTTTGTGTGTGACAGGAATAGCCTTATTTGAAAGAATGTTGAACAGCTTATTCACACACACACACTAATGCATGATGTTCAGAGATTCAGGTGCAGAGCTGTAATAGTTCATTTCAAAACATATTACACAAAATTAAATCTATATTTAGTTTTTAGGAACATAATTTATTAAAGTTATCTACATCTTCAGGAATAAAGTTTTTGTTGCATTTATTTGGTAACTTTTTCCCAGTTTAAATCAATCATCTTAATTTTCTTGCCTTTTGTTTTGTTTTGGTGAATAAATTGGCATTTTATAAAATAATGGAACAAAACTTAAATGCCATTTTATGAGATAAGCTTGTAGTTTAAATCAGTCTGGTCTGGTTTGAGTGTTAATGTGTTTTTATCCAGAGTTGGCAGGACAGACAAAGCCATTAATCTTTTGTTTGAGACTAAGGAAATATACAACTACATTTTCTTAGATGTTTCTTTGGTTTGAACAACCTGATTTGAACGAACGAGTGATTCATTGGCTTCTGCAGAACCTGAAAACCTGCTGAAGAGCAGCAGAACAATGAAAACATGCAGGATAGTGGCCTTGGAGGATCAAGACTGAGCAGCACTGATGTAGTTTTGCTCATTCGTAAACAGCTAATAAGCTTCAGTAACTAGATAATCCCTGCAGCAGCAGCAGCATTCAAGAATTTCAGCTCATTTATTTAGTTTGACAATGAGATATTTGTGTTTTACCACACAAACTTGACGTTCTTTTATGAGAAAAGCTTGTAATTTAAATCAGTCTGGTCTTGTTTCAGCTGTCCATTTGACCTGATATCAGCCTTGGTCATTCCAAAACATCAACTTTATTCTATTCTTTAAGGACAATTTTGTGCTTGTTGATGATAGTATTGTCTCACAGCATTTGAGCCACCTCTCATTGAAATTTCAACCAATATCATTTAAGAAAATTTCTTTCAGACACAATTTATGTTCATATTTAGGTATGCACTGTTTTAATAATACTTAATTAATTATAAGTATTATAATAAATACGTTGATGCACAACAAGGTAATTTAAAAGCTTCCCGGCCATGCAGTGCTGTTTAGAAAAATCCCACCTGTTGTCTTGTAAAAAAAAAAAAAAAAGGCGAGAACGCCTTCACGCGGGAACGCGCACATTAGGATCACGTGACCTGTTGGCTGATTTTTGATTGGCAGGATCCGTTTCACTACGTAGCTGTGGGTCACGTGACATTAACTGCTGCTGCTGCCTGCTGGCTGAGCGAAGCGTGTTAGCAGGTAAAAAAAAAAAATACAACACGTTTTTTTGTGTGGATAGTGTTTGAAATTCGAGTCAAAATATACAGAATATCAACTTATAATATTAGTTTTCTCGGTAGGAAATAGCTGAACCTAATCACACTGGTTGGTGTTTGACGAACTAACTCTTCGCAAATGCGCACGGGCCGTTCACAACACATGCCAGGGTGGTAGCAAATAGTTACATAAGTGAAGTGTAGCTTGGTAGGCTACATGTATCTTGACAAATCTCATTTTTACCCACGTACATGTTTTTGTTTTAAGATATAGTTGTTGCCTGTGGTGATTTTAATAAACCACGCGACCGTTTTCGTTTCGGTTGTTAGCTTGCAGCTAACGTTAGCTTATCTGTCGGTCAACACAAACAAAGGGCTTCATCGTCGAAACGTAGACACGCTTGATTTCGCTTCCTGTCKTGGTATGGTTGAACAAAAACTGTAACTTTATTTGACAGGCGAAGGAAAATGTAACAAAACCAATACATTTTCAGATAACCGTGGCAATTTGAACTAGGAATTTCTTGGAAATTGATCACGGTTGGAACAAAGACGAGTAGTTAGCCCAGCTGCTAGGTTACCTAATCGAGGGTTAGCGTATCCATCATCGCTTGTACCGTCAATCAGAAAATAAAATTACCTTTGATTGGTAATAACGTGAACTACCCAGTTAGGGCCGAGGATGTCACAAATCTTAACGTTTATGTTTTGCCATTTGCATTGAATTTAACACGTTTTTTTGTCGTCTCTCGTTTTACAGCTCATTACCGTGAGTAATGTTAATCGTTGATTATGTGCTTTCGATTTAGACTGGGATAGTGTTTATACCTTTTTGTGTTGATCACAAATGTATATTTGTCGATATCATCTAGTATAGATGGGTGGTAAAAGTATTCTAGCTCCCGTAGACCCTGGTGTTTAGTGTGGGGAGAGGGAGGGGGAGTTGTAAGATGACACCCGGACAGTCCCGTCTTGGCTGGCTAAATTTAACCAGGGATGTGGGGGCCACAGTTGGGAGTTATAGTCTTACATGGTATAGAACAGTGAGTCTCAGAMTGTGTACAACACTCTTTCACTCAGCACTGTTTTTTTATGGAAACAGCCATGCAACGTGATCATCTTCTCACCGATTAACTCGCACTCCTCTTAGCTTCTTCCTCTTTTTCTTTTTCAGATTTTTTTTCTATTTTGTACATACATTGCTTTGTATATACTGTATATGATGACTTCAGTGGTCAGCAATCAGACCCGAGGGACTCGGGACAAGACGCTGCCCACCACCACCACACAAACAACACAGCCACAGAAACAGATACAGGTGGGCTTTTTACCGTTGACCACACCTTTTGCTGTTAAATTCGATGTTATGGGTCTCCCAATGACACATGCAAATAGTGTGAATGCATTTTTCCCTCCCTCTTTCTTCTGAACCATTGTTTTAGATTAAAACAAGTGCAGGTACTACATGTTCTTGATGTCATTTCTCACTGAGCCCTGTTTACCTTGTCAGGCCACAGCAGAACAGATTCATCTAGCCCAGGTGATCTATGACAAAAATGATGCCGACTTTGAAGACAAAGTTAAACAGGTTTGTTCATGCACAGAAATTTAGGAGAAAAAAATCCATCTTTGGTAGAACTCATTCCTGGAATTTTAAAAAACTAAAACCCTTTTTGTGGCATAGGGTGTCCTAATGTCTTGTTTTCCTATGTCTTTGACACTCAGCTGATTGAGGTAACTGGGAAGACTCAAGATGAGTGCATGGTTGCCCTTCATGACTGCAATGAAGATGTAAACAGAGCCATCAATTTTCTCCTTGAGAGCCCTTCTGTCACAGTATGTGCATATACAACATAGATAATTTGTCATATACTTAGTGTGGTTTTTTTTTTCAATTGCTGTCAGTTTTTCTGTTTTGCAAAAAATGTAATGTGATTGTTTTTATTAATAACTCAAATTCATTTTATTTTACCATGTCACACTTTTTTTAAACTTCAGAACTGCTGGGAGACTGTGGGGAAGAAGCGTAGTCTTGGTAAAGAAGGAGGACCGTCAGACGTTAAAGAGAACAGGGAGAAGAAAGGAGAGAGAGAGGTCAGTCGTGGACGTGGAGGGTCCAGCAGGAGGGGCAGAGGAATGAGCCGGGGTCGTGAAGGTAAGGAAACTTGATAAAAGGCAGTTACACCTTGGTTTTATTTTTGTTTTGTTGAAATATTGCACATACTTAAGGGGGAATATATATATATATATATATATATATATATATATATATATTCCCCGCATGCTAAGTCCAAGTAAATCAAACTTTTGTGAAGCACATTCAACTCTGTACAGAACAAAGTACTCAATGCGAATATTTCATTGATTAAGATCGGGAGTTAGCATGCGTTGTTTAAGTGTTCCCTTTAATTTTTTGAGCAGTATATATATATATATATATATATATATATAAGACAGAATTTATTAGTTGCTTCCTAATGACTTACTTTGTTTGTTGTTGGGTTATAGGTCGGTCAGAAGAGAATGGGTTTGATGTGGCTCCTGGAGAGAGAGGGGATGACCGTGGCCGCAGGGGCCGCGGCAGAGGTACCATTGAAAAAATTACATATTTTTAAATGTATTCAAATACAAAACTAGATATTGTTTGTCGTGGAAAATATCCACTAAGGCAGGCACACGCAAATAAAGAAAAGTGCACTGCGTGGTTTTCGGTCGTCAGATTTAATAAGGTTTGCATATGCAAGATGAGTAGCGACAACTCAGCAGACCCAAATCAGAGAATCCGTCAAGCTGCTACTGGCTAGCAACAGACAGGAAAGGCATTAATATTATTCCGGGCGGAGTACGTGAGCAACAAATAAGAGCATGACAAATGGTATAGAGATATCGCATGACCAATGAAAGGATTACGAGTTACACAGGCAATATGAAATGAGAGCAAGGTCCGTAGACATCAAATGGCGTCTTTAAGAATCATGAGAACAGATTATACAAATGTAGCAGTTATTAGAGAGGTACAGACTAATAATGTCAAGGCAGTGTGAACAGGAATGAGCAGGCACGTATTTATATAATTATTCCAGCACATTGTTACTTTTAAGTTTGCAGAAGTGCTTCATCAGAAGTAGAAGTTTAGGCATTCCAATCAGTGATGGTCATCTTTCTGTTTTTCTTGACTTCAGGGGTAGGTGGTCGTGGCAGAGGAAGAGGAGCTGCTGGTAACAGATTCTCTTCTCAGGGAATGGGGTAAGACATTGGCTTAGTGTTATTTCTAATTTAAAAAATAAACTAGTTTTTATAGTTGTTATGAGGGTCTATTTTATTCTTTTAAAGGAAATATTTAATTTTCTGACATTTTGTGAAAAATATAAATACCTTATTTTCTCTAGCCTACAGGCATCAAAAACAGACCATGCAATTTTCACTTGTTTTTTGTTTGCTCATGATTCTTACATTTCTTTTTTTTCTTCCTGTTTTGTTCATCTGTTCCTCTTTTTTTTCTCTCTCTCTCAGTACTTTTAATCCTGCCGACTACAGTGCAAACTCTGGAGCTCAGCATCAGCAGGAGAATTGGGATGGTGATGGCAATGAAACTGCTGAGGGAACTGGTAAGTAAAATAAAAAATAAAATTCAAAAAATTGGTTGCTGGTCCTGCCTTTGTTTTTAATTAAGATTAGCTAATTCTAGTGACAGCTGCATAACATGATGAGCACAGAAGCGGTAAAAATTAATCTGCACTTTAACAATTGATTTGCTCATTTCTTTTGTTTTAGGAACTTGGGGAGGCAATCTGGAAGAGTGGACAGATGACTGGAATGAGGATGTAAGGCAGCACATTCTAATGATTTGAAATCCGTTTTGAGTGAATTAATCAGACTTTTAATGACACTCATATACATGCTGGGAAAATGTTAGGAATTCCCAGTCCTACATTTTTAAGCTAGTTTATCAGAAATTAATTCTTGACAAAAGGAGTAAAATGTTCACTCCATGGTTAGTTGCTATAATGTTAGGAAAATTGTGGCTAGCTGTAATAATACCATTTCATAACCACAAGGTCTATGACTGTTCATGATACATTTATTTATTAATTTTTTTATTTGACTTATTGGCTACATCTATTGTGTAGTTCTACCAGGAAAGTTAAAAATGTTGCTCATTTTAGCAGAAACATAAAACTGGTATGCCTTTTTTGGTCCTTGTTTCATTGTACAGTTCATTGTAAGGAAAGCTCTGCTAACTAAACACAAAAAGGAACATCCCTTAATGAAATTACTGGTGCCATGGACTTTGCTCYGTTTTCTTTCTCCCACCTGAGTTGTTTTATTTTGATGTATTGCCAGTGTCATTGGAGTAGTTTTCAGGCTCAAATTAAGGCAGAATGGAACTGCTGTTTATCCTGATCAGGATGATTAGTAATGCATGGTGGTGTAAACAGTAGTGGAGGGGTGTTAGTGAAGATACTTTATTCCAATGATTTTTAAAAAAATGATATCAATTCTTAAATATCACATCTATGTAATTAAAAAGAGAACTGTATTTGTCTTTTTATAGTTGTCTGAGACCAAAGTGTTTACTGCTTCTTCTGCTCCAACAAACCACATTGTACAAGGACAAAGGTAAGCCATTTTCGCTTGCAAAAATGCACAGAACAGGCTTTAATCCAAAAATGTTTTAACTTCTATCCTCCATCTCCAACCTTGTTTTACTACTCGTTTTCTTCTCCCTTGTGACTTTAGCGTGGACCTGGCTACCTTACTGCCTAAGACTGCGGGGACTGTAGGAGGTTCCATGGATCCTGACTTGGGAGCAATTGGCGATGGTCCCTCTTCAGATGATTTGGGCCAAAGCCTGGTGTTCACCAATTCTCATCACAATGGTCGCAGTGCACCACACAGCTACGCACATGCCACAGCCAACAGCTATGCCCATGCCGCCTCTGCTAACACCACCTATGCACACGCTGCGCTGGTATTCACAATCTTACACAAGAAAAAGCATTGGTGATGGTACTAATGTTGAACAACAGTACTCAGTTTGATCTTCGACTGTGTTGTGCTTTCAGTCTTCAGTCATAGGTTCAGGTTTTGGATCCCTGAATGCACCTAAGCAGGTACCTGCAGCTGACATTCGGACATCTGAGCAACTCAATGGTCCTCGGCTTGGCMAGAGAACCAGTCAGATGTTGGTGACCGCCAGCAGCAGTAATGTTTCCAAAGAAGCAGGACCACCTCCAGTTCAAAGTCCTGCTCTTGCCCCTTCCCCCTCTGTGGATGCCAAGGCCCAAAGGGCAGAGAGCAGCCCTATCATGTCTCAAAACTGTAAGTGTATTTTAAAATTCAAAAAACATGGCTTACCTTTGATCATGTATTCTAAGACAACAGAATTTAATTGTTAATTTTTTGTATATATATATATTTTTTAAGTGGAAATGAAACTTCAGCCAGAGCCATCAGCAGTGCTCAGCCAGCTGGCTCAAAGGCAGCAACAGTCCTCCATCCTTACCACTACAGAGCCTCTGGGCCTGTCTCAGTCACACGCACCACAGGTCCCCACACCACCAGGTAGATCTAATCTTCAAAATTGTGTCCTGCTGTGTTGATAAATACATGACAAATAATGTGACATTTAAAGCTGCAAGAAAAATCACAATTTGTTTTTTAATATTTATAACTGGTGGATAAAATCAGCCAATTCTGTTCTGCAATAGCAAATTAATTTGTGGACAACTACATTCAGTGATATAGGCATGGGTCGGGTATCAGTTTCATGTTGTACTACAATATGAAAAAGTCAGTTTGAATACCGCAAAAAAATTCAGACAGACCGTTCCTTTTGGTATGCATGTTTTAATTTTTTTTGGTTTTACTGACTTGTCAGAGAGAAAGTTGTTCAGCTGTAGAATCATGATCCCTCCCTCCGTGTACCCCTGGATTAGCTGCCAGCTCTGCAGGTTGTATGATGGCTGTAAGAAGCGAGTTCCCCGAACTTTTTCCCCTGTCTAAAAGAACAAAGTCAGCTATATTGGATTGCTTCAGATACTGTAAAAAGACAGACAACCATGGCTTGTGGACAATGGTAGCAGAGAAGACAGCACATCTAACATAATAGCAAAATTACAGGAGCACAACCAGGTAAAGTTTGTGCTATCTTGACATAAACAAGCTAGCTTTAGCATCAGTCATTAATGAAACGCATCACTGTGTTGCTGTGACATATTGTGCTATTCGCAACTTGTCTACAAGAGTGTTTTGGGGTTATTGGATTGTGTATTTGATTAGTTTTAAGTGAAAGGTAAAAGTGCAGAGTAGAGTACCTCCGTAGCTTTAGCTGAGCAACTCTTTAGCTGAATGTGCATTTCATAAATGCACATTCATAATGTAATGTTTTTATATATATGTATGTTTTATATATGTTGTGCAGTATACCCTGATGTTTATCTATTAAAGCAGTAGAAAAGCAGTTATTGTATTTGATGTAAACTTGATCAGTAGAGCTTTATTGTGTTGGGTGCTAAAACTCATATGTTTGAACACACACGTTAGGGAATTAAATTTCAGCATGTACCTATGATCTAAAAACAACTTCTAAAGTAAATTAAAGTTAACTAGGACAAATGAAAAGTTAATTTATTTTTAAATACCAATTTCAAAGTAACACCTTTAGCTGTAATCATAATATCGTGACAGTGAAATTGTGATATTTTTTCTTATACAGTCAGAATTTCATACCGGGCCATGCCTTCAGTGATGTGCTCTTTCTTGCTAATGAACTTCATTCACATCTGACAATTGTTTGAATCGTGTGTTTTCTTGACTTTCAGGCCATGAATCCTCTACACCACCGGTAAGGGATGGAGCTTCTCCTGGAAGCAAACCACCAGGTCTGGAGTTTTCAATAACTGAGGCCCCTCACCGGCAGTTAAAGACACAGAGACGCAGAGCACCTCCTCCTTCTAAGGTCACTTCTGGTGATATCTGAATGTTTTACTCAAAATATATAAAAGGCTTCTTTCAAAATGGTTGAGTATTATTAGTTGTAATGCTAGGTAGTACCTTGAAGTCGTAAACCTTTACATAATGTAAACAAAAAACAATTAGTTGGGGATAAACAAAGGTCTGTTTCTCAATACTAAACCATATAATCAGTGACTTGCTAAAAAACAAGTGAAAACGCTAATACAATTTTCAGCTTTATTTTTTCTTTGTAAATGAAGCACACAATTTCTACCAGTTTGTTGACTTTTTTTGCAATTCATTTCAACATATTGATGCTGTCTACCACAGATTCCATCGACAGCCGTGGAGATGCCCGGCTCAGCAGATATGTCTGGTCTGAATGTTCAGTTTGGAGCTCTTGACTTTGGGTCTGAAGCTGGCAGTGTAGCGACAGATGTGTCACAGACAGAGTTGTCCAGAGAGCATGCCCCTACCCTGGCTCCAACAAGTATACCAACTTCGGCTGCTGTTTCCACACAGCAGCAACAGAGCAGCATTTTCCCCAAACAAGGAGCTGTGAGGTACACAAGTTTTTATTTATTATAAGACAAGTTGAATGAAATCAAATATTTACCAAAAGGCCTTGCCTGAGACTGAATGAGCTCAGCCATATGTGGTTTGCATGCTCAACTTTCTGGGGTTTATCTTTTTAGCATGTTTGTCACAAATATACCTTTCCCCTYAACTGTGTTGTTTTCTTTCCTTTTTTTTCTGTAATCAGTGAACACATGAGCAGCTTACCCTCAGCTGTATCAGATGGCAGCTTCCCTTCACCATCTATGGGCCTACCCAGTGCTGCTCCCTCTGCTTCTCTTGGTCTCCCTAGTGCAGCAGCACCACCCTCCTCTTCTATTCCCACAACAACCAATCGTGTGGAGAACAGTGGTTCAAGGGCCCTGCCTCCCCATCTTGGCTTCTCTCAGAACAAAGATGTCCCATCAGCTTCTAGTGCACCTCTAATGGTGAGAATAAACTCTTTTGTTTATGTAAATGTCTGATAAGGCTCTAGGGTCTTCTTAACCTGTCCTGCACAGCTGCTTTTTAATCTGTGTTATGGTTATACTTTTCTATGTGCAAATAAATAAAATAAAATGTATACCTAAAAGTCCCAGATAAGTTAACTCATTTTTTTCAAGTTTATGGCAACATTTGATTTATCAAAATTAAGACTTTGAATGTTTCTTTTTGTCGTAGAATGGCTACAGTGGTATGAAGGCACAGAGCACACAGGAAGGTAAGTACTTTACAATAATTGACATCTAAGACTTGATAAAATATGCTGAATGCCAACTAAAGTCTACAAGTGAAAGTTATTGAGATTGTCTGATAAATGGATTAAGATTAATTTTATTGTTCTTTAATCAGTTACATCATCACCAAGAACGATAAAAACGGAGTCTACTGTTATGACAAGTGACGGCAGCTCTGGCCATCACATCCCTTCTCCTGCAGTTACAGCTTCTCACTCAGCACCTGTCTCATCGCTCAGCAGGTAAGGGTTGGTGTCAGTCGTATGTGACATTTATCCTGGAGATAATGATGACTAAAGCACATATCTCAATCATTCTATGTGGAGAAAACTTGACTGAATCTTCTGTTTTTATAATGAAATCACTGTTGTGAGTTTGAACTTGTGGCTGACAGAATTATGTCACTGTCTTTGTAGTCATGTGAGCAGCTCTCTCTCATCTGGAGCCGCTCTCGCCACAAATTCCTCTCTTACAGTAAGTTGGTTTACACAAACACACAATGTAGTATGCTGACAATACTTCGCTCTTTGATAAGTGAATTTTTAAATGTTAAGACGGTGGTTTTATTAAACACATTTTGCTAATGTCTTGCTCATTCAGATAACTGAGGAGAGTAGCAACAACCTCCACGCCTTTTCAACATCATCCAATCAAGTTGTAAATCCCAGCGCTCCCCTGAGCGTTAGTTCTTCGACCAATGGACTGCACCAGTCAGGAGGGCCAGGACTAGTAACTCCAAATGGCACAAACACAGTCCCAGCTGCAGGCAGCCGCACGGCACCTCAACTCACCACAACTTCTGGTACGGACTGGATCAGCTGCACACAAGAATGAACACTCAAGACTCTTTGATCTTAAGTGTTTTTTTTTTTAAGTTTTCAAAATTAATTTGAGTAAAAAAGTCTACGTTTCAGCTATTTCTACTTTAATTCAAACATGCATGTTGGTTTCACTGTAATTAAAGGGCAGTTATAAATAATCACTGTTTATTCTCTTCATTAGGTAAAGCTCCTCCTAACCTGGCCCAAGGAGTGCCTCCTCTCCTGGCCAACCAGTACATTATGGGCCCTGGTGGCTTGCTCCCTGCTTATCCAGTAAGTACCACTTTGCCCAGTGCTTGCCTCATGAAAATGTAGTATTTTGATGGTTGGATTTCCTTAGTATTTAAAGTGATTTATATATATAAATTCTAAAATATAACAGCAAATTTCTCCCTAAGTATTTTTTGTCTTTACAGTAAGTTGATGTAATCTCAGAGATTTCTTAAAGTGCCTGTGATATCAAATCTTTGGTAATAAATATGAGATTAAGAGTCAATATAGTTGTATGTAAAATAAGGGGAAGAGGAATGTCTGCATGTGAACAGAACATTGCTATATTGTCTAACAACACAGACTGCACAGAAGAATCTGATATTTCTTTAGATTATTTTGAGTCACTCTCAGATGAAGAGGAGGCAGAGTTCAATTAATGTTTCAATAAACAAAGAACAGGGAGTTTTCTTTCTTAAGGAGTTTCCCTGTGATGTCACTTCCTGTTTATTTTTAGCTGAGACAAATTCAAAAGAAAATATGCCACTTGTATGACTAAATGGGTAAAATCATGTGTATTATGCCACTGTTTTTAAAATAAAGATGTTTTTTCTTTTACTTTTTGTATTTAAAGTATATTCATGTCACAGGCTTTTAAAGATCATTTGTTTTCTTCACTTCAACAGCAGATCTATGGATACGAAGACCTGCAGATGTTGCAGTCTCGCCTCCCTTTGGTAAGTCTGTTAGTCAGATTTAAAAACTAAACAGCCTCGTGATGGTTTTTTTATATACTGTATATACATACTGTATAAATGTAATTTCATTTTGTCTTTAACACTAACATGTAGTACCAATAGATTAAACGTTTGACACTTCAGTTTTTTTCCATGGACAAATATTCTGCATCATGATTTATTTATTTACTTGTTTGTTTCTGTAGCATGACTTCTATGGTGTGACATTCCCTGGTGCTACGGCTCCAATGCCTGGAAGAGATGGCCTGCCCAATAATCCTTACTCTGGTAAGTAAAATTTTGTTGTTTGTCTGATTTAGTAGTTTACTCCATATTTTTATTCAATTCGGTGTCCATTCAAATCCATTTGTTTATATTTTACAGAGTCTTTTTTGCATTTTTTGTGAATATTGCAGCAGGAATTGTAGCCATTTAAAAAACTGCTACTATTGGACTTGAGCCCAGTTTTTATTCCACATCTTCCTTCATTTTTCATGTTTTCTACTAGTGCTGGGCGATATGGCCTAAAATCAATATTGCGATATATTGACCAATTCACCTCTAACGATAAATGCACGATAACTCTTACCACCCCCACCACACACAAATACATGGTATAGTATAGTCATAACACTATAATACAGTGTCCATGTTCTTAGTCAAAGTACACAGTTTAGATTTTGAACAGCTTATCTGTAGTTTATATTTGTCATTTTAGTGTTTTTAATATTTAAAAAAACATTTTGGCAAGACAGTCAGATATAGTGAAACAAATATTTAACCATCTCCATATTGTAAATATTCAGTGCAAACAAACACATTATGTATAATTTTATATTTAAAAAAATATGCCTTTTGTACTGCACAAAATACCTTAAATACATTTTTTATTTGTTAGACTGACAGATTTCTCTATTAAAATAAGTATTTCTTTCAAAAAGATTATATTATTTAAAGAGCTCATGTAGTCATTTAATACTATTTATTCTTCATATTTGTTCATTTATTGAACCACAGAGCAGTTTAGTCACAGTATGGTTCTAAATATAAGCAAGTTTTATTGTGAAGAAGGAAATTTGATGTTTATGATAAACTACATAGTGGGAACATAGCGCGTTTTTTTTTTTTTTTTTTTGGAGTGGGGGTAACACTAAGCGGAGACTCATCTTTTCTATAATATGGGACAAAGAAATGTTTATCTGTTAGAGTTAATATTGTTTCATTAGAAGAGTTGAAACAACGGCTCTCTCAGAACAACTCCTGTCTCCTGTTTGTGTGCACCTCGACGTGCTCCCATAACAGCGCCATCGAGGAGAGGAGTTTGATCACGCAAGCAAAGCTGGACATAATCAGCTCGATAACGAAGCTCTGAACACRTAAACTTATAGTGTGTTAGATTTTAGATACCAAACGTCTCGGGTAGCTCGGGAGCAAAGTGTGGAGAGAGGACGGGGGTTTGCTCGCTCAGGACAGGAGCTGAAGGCTGACTGGTGTTTATCCTGACTGCTTCACCGACATCAGAAAGACCTGCTCTGCTCTGATTGGATAAAGTAAGCTGTGGGGTTCGTTTGATTTGTTGAACGCAACGTCTGTATCAGACTGGGCGTCTTGAGACTGCAACAGAAAACGAGCAGGTTTCTCTTTTCCTCATTTTTTGAATACCAAAAATACAGACATGGGCAAAATGTCGTCKGTTATTGACATAAATGTCGGTATTTGTTATTTTTCGTTTTATCGCCCAGGCCTATTTTCTACCAATATTTTTTTCATTCAGGTGAGGCAACAAAGTTTGGCAGGAATGACTCTTCTCCACCGGCACCCCCGACCAGCTTGTCTACGGCTGGGGTTCAGTCACAGCCCCAACAGACACAGCAGGCAGGGACACAAGGTCAAGGGCAGAACCAGAACCAGGGACAGCAGACACAGAACCAGGCCTTCCTCAACCCTGGCCTACCGCCTGGCTATGGATACACTGGTAAGGAGACAAAACTGCTTTGTATTGAACTGCATTCATTTGATTTCCACATAGCTTAATACATTTTGATTTATTTACTACATCAAAGGTCTGCCATACTACGCCGGCATGCCTGGGGTTCCCTCAGCCTTTCAGTATGGCCCAACGGTCTTTGTGCCTCCAGCTTCTGCCAAGCAGCCTGCAATGGGCCTGGCCAACCCCTCCAGTCAGTACCACCAACAGCATCAGCCCAGTTATGGGCAGCACGCATATGGCACAGGTATGGCAAGGACAGAACGACGAGGTCCTTTCTGGCATGCTTTGTATTTATTACAGCACATTTTCTCCCATTGTAAACAATAATAAATAAATTCTYAAGTGTTTAATTGAAGATGTTACTAATTTGACATTTAGCCTCTAGAGATAGCTGTACTTGAAAAAGTCTGGGGCAAAATATGAGTAATAGGAGTGAAAAAGGGAGAAAACTTGCTGCATGTTTGTGTTTGTGTGGCGGGAGTAGGTCTGTTTTTTTAATTTGCTTATGCTGCTTGCATAGCTAAAACCTACTGCTGAAGTTGGGCACAGCTCAATATACACAGCTGCCATTGTAGACAGGTTACCTTACTATCTCTCTCCTGCTCTGTCTTCTCTTCATATCCCCCTTTTCTTCTTCACCCATCTGTTTCTCATCTCTTTTCTTCCTCCTCCTCCGTCTCCTCTGTACTGTTCTTCCTCCTTCAGCCTTTGATGACCTGTCTCAAGCCCACGGTGGGGAATACAATAAGGCAGGGTATGGAGGTTCTGCCCAGTCACAGGCCAAGTCAGCGGGCAGCGGCCCAGGGAAAGGTACTTAAAACACGTCTGCATACAGAACAACACAGGTTTTCATACTTCATATTTTCCTGGGGAAGATAATTTGTTTTACTTACAACAGTTGAGTTTTGTGGAGACAGTAGTGCTTATGCATGCCTGTGATTACATGTTGACAGAGTAGTGCATGCTAAAGGATAGGAAAGACTAAGACACGCCTCTGCAGCTCCTCACTTACTATGCTTTTTCCTACTGGCTGGCACCTTTAACACTAACACACAAAAATTGATATTTAGGATTAACTGTCAGAAGTGTCGGTGTTAAGATTCCATTAACTACTTCATGTACCACTTGATATCCCTTTAATTCTCTAATAATTTTTTCTTCCTGTTCCTCTGCCTCTTTTTTCTTCTCCTGTCAACAACAGGATTGACAGGATCAGGTACCAGTGGTGGAGTTCCTGACATGGGAGGTTCCATATACGGCAAAACACAGGTGTGTTTATTTCTGCTGTTTATGTTTAACAGAGTTTTTAGATCTCGGCAGTGCTTTGTGAATTATAGATAATACATCTGTAGAAATTTGAAGTGGGACATTATTTTAACTCTGGTTGAAAAGTTCAAAAGGATTGGTTGGATTACATTTTATGCTCGTCGACCCTTGCAGGCTGTCATTTTTGGCAAAACTAACCAAGAAATGGTAAAGAACTACAGTATGTGTCTTTGAAACAGGCTGCCTGAAGATGCAGATATTTGCATATTTTTCTGTTAATCACAAATCCAGTTTGTTCCTTCAATTCAGGTCCAATCATTTGATTTAATAGCTTGAGCATTAAAAAAGGCAGCATTGAGGTTTTACTGAAAATAGGTACAGGGAGTAGACTGGAAATGAGTGAAATAATCCACCAATGTCCAGAGAAAGACATTTAGACTTTAATAAAGGCTGAATAACTTTGGGAACAAAATTTATAAACTTATTTTGCTCCATGCCTTTTTATTACTGTACAGTTATAATAATAACTATTAATAATAATGTTTTGTGTTCTCCTCAGTCATTTGACAAGCAAGGCTTCCACACAGGGACGCCTCCTCCCTTCAGCCTGCCTTCAGCGCTGGGAGGGACAGGGCCGATGAACCCCGGGGGCGCACCTGGCTATGCCCCTGCACCCTTCTTGCACATCCTGCCTCCACACCAACAACCCCACTCCCAGCTACTGCACCATCATCTCACACAGGATGGACAGGTAAATGGAGCATGCCTTGTTAGAATAGTAAATTGTCTAWCTGCAAAGCTCTCTGGATTTAGAAAATGTACTGACCACATCAACCTCACAGGCCAATAATTTGACAAATATATTTAAGAATTTGGACACAACAGGTTCCTCTGTTAAATGGGGCTGTAGAAAAGGCAAATTAAATTAACCTCTGAAACCTCTGGTTGGTTGCAGGGTGGTCCTGGTCAACGCAATCAGTCCAGCAGTATGCAGCAGAAAACCCAAGGCAGCAAGTCCAGCTACGGCAGCTCTCCATACTGGGCAAACTGAGGAATGCTTTCCATTCTCCTCTCCACCATAAGGCTGTGTGTGTGTGTGTGTGTGTGTGTGTGTGTGTGTGTGTGTGTGTGTGTGTGTGTGTGTGTGTGTGTGTGTGTAAAGCTAAAACAAACAAAACAAAGCAAACAGACACACAATGAGCATCTCTGCTCTCCCCACCTCCCCAAGTCCTCATAAGTCTTTTGGGTTCTCTCTTGCCCCTCTTTTCAGAATTGGTTGTACATGTAAGATATTTATGTATGTATTTATATATATAAATATATATATACTGTATATGTAATAGTAGAACATGAAATGTGGTTATTGCATTTTATTTTTGAAGGACTTTTGTTTACCCTTTTTTTTTTCAAAACTGCAGAAAAAGATGTTGCATTATTGAGCATGCGGGGTTATAAATCAGATTTTTTTAAAGAGAAAGCAGTAGCACTGATTGCATATGAGGACGCTTTCAGGTGGGGGTGGGGTTTATAATTAACTGCATCTGTCTCTCTTTTTTTATTTTGTACAAGACTCCTAAAATGGTCAAATTCATCTCCCTTTAACTTAATTTTATATCTTCACGTTTCCCTCCTCCTCCCTCTTCTGGACGCTACCCACTCTGTTTTGACATCTTTTTAAAAACCGACTTGCCCAACCAAATTTTATATTTAATTTTAACCATCATTTCTCTCTAAATAAAGTTCTGAGCACTTTGAGCTCTGATCCATGTCTTTTTGTGTTTTATTGATGCATGTTTTTGTCTTGAGCAGAACTGCTTGTAATATTCATTTATGGACTTTAGATGGCTATAAATGTATTTTTTTAAATAAATATTTACCTAGCTTTCTTTCCTAAAGTTCTTGTATATTAAAACTTATCAGTCATTGCTGATTACATGTGATAAGGAAAACTTGAGGCATTTTAATAGTTTAGTGTATAGAGTAAAATGAGGAGGCCAACTCATTTCAGCGTACAAATTTTTTCACAAATCATCAAAAGATGAAGTTGATACACACAGGTCTGGTTTGTATATCCCCGTGGGGACTGTACATTGACTTCCATTAATTTTTTTTCCATTTACCCTAAGATAAAACTCACAGTTACCTACCCTAGGGTACACACCCTAAAACTAACCTAAACTCAGTTTAAACCTWTGTCCTAAACCGAACCCCACCCCACCTGTAATTTGCATTTGGACCGGGCATTGATCCACACGATGCATGTTTAGTCCCCACAAGGCTGCTTTTTTGGGAAAATTGTCCCCACGATGTAGGAAAAACAAGAATACACAGCTTAGCAGAATAAAATGAATATATGAAGGGCAAGCAAAATTTTTTTATTTTCATTTTTATGTTAATTGTGAGGCACTCTGTGTCTTGACCAGACGTTTTTGGGTTAACAAACCCTAATAGGGTTTATTTATATTTAGAAAAACTGTGTTAAGCAGGTATTATAGTTGCTCTTTAWAAAATGTAAAAGTTTTTGAAGACCAAAAAGGTGAACTTGGCTGTTGGATCAATAGTCACTGATGAGTTTAATGGTCTGTTTCAGCAGTCCCAGTTTTGCTGCTGTTATGTAGTTTTACCAGTCACCGCCAGGTGGCAGTATAAATATACCGCTTCGTGAATGAAATTATGAGGTGAATCCTTATATTAAGGAGTTATTTTTCCATAATAAATTCACATTAAACTGATATTGACCTTTTGTTAAAAGACTAAGCAATTCAAATTCAGGATAAAAAGCCAGAGAAGAATGCTGTGTTTTATATAATGGGCCTAGACTTTAAATGGTAAGCATTGTTCATGCATTATTTGATTAGTTTCTGGGATTTGCTGGTGACTGTCTACTAAATGAGGACAAAGGAAAAAAATATTTTCAAACCACAGGGCTCTTGTATCTATTTAAAGAAAAAATACTGTGCTTACTGAAAATCGAGCGTCTGTGGAGTCCCAGAACAATGTCTATACAACCCTAAAATCTTGCAGATAAAAACAAGAGGATAAGAAAAGAAGACAAAACGATGCTCTACTGCAGAATTCAATGTAGAGCAGAAATAAGTGAAATTCAGTGAGTGGCAGGTGCTATTGTGGATTAAGCGCAGGAGCCTGCAGCAACGAGGTCAAAAGTCAAAGTGTAGATAAAAGGCCAACCCCAGCTTCCCCTTTGAGCCCACCCACAGAGGCGCACAGATACCAGAGTGGTGGGCCAAAGGAAGGACCTGAGGGAACGGAAAAGTACATGACACAATAAAAGTAGAGAAAATAGTGGGGGCAGAGTCATCACGGAGATGAGAACATCGTGATAGCAGAGCAGGSGAGCCACGATGGAAAAATTTAAACAAGAACCAATGAGCATCAGAAAGACACGTTCTGTGTTTCATATCCTTCTTGATGATGCAAGAATATCATGCCATATCAGATTTAAACTAGCAAGTTAGCAAATTAGCTATGTCTTTGATAAAAAAACTATTTCGTTTTAATTTCTCAAAAAGCAGATCAGTTTTGTGACTTTTACTCAAACTGATGTAAACACATGATTCACTCTGTTATTTCACTGAGACACAGGAATGCCCCTAAGAGTGTTTATTGACACTTATGACCGCTCAGATGTCGACAAAGACGTTTTGCTGGGGTTCATAAAGTTCACTCCTTTGAGAAACACGAGGAGCTGTGAGGCAGGAGGACATCCTAAAACATAGAGAACCTGAATGACCTGCTGCTTTGAGATGTGGGAACTTATGAAATGTATTTCTGCTGAATTGAGTCATCTTATTTTGTCAATGCTTTTTTTTTTTTAAAGCAAACCATTCCTCCCAGTTGAATCAGCTGTATTTTTTTTAATTCTCTTTCTTCTCCATCTGGAGTCTATGAGATGCTCCTATTCCTGTAGCTGTTGTGAAATATAACAGCGGGCTCCGTTCAACAAGAAACTGTCTGCAATTAGTGCAATTATGCTGATTTTCACTTGTGTCCCAATGCAGAACAGAGTTTCTGCTGTGCAYAGAGATACTGTATCTGTGGAAAAATCTGTGCAAAACAAAAAGCCATCAATCAACAAAGGCTTTGAATGAATGAATGAATGGCCCAACTGCAGATAATACCAGGCACAATTTGTAATGACAGCATTTACTTAGCTGGGGTCTGCGTTGCAATGGAGGGGCATCTCCTTTAAAGCTTCACTGCTTAAAGTGTCCCAAAAGTGTGAAAGTGGTAAACACTCAATTTCTGTCCATGTTCAAGGGAACAGTAGATGACAAGCTATCTCAATCCAATTAATCAACTTATAAAAGGATGTCAGTCCACACAATAGTGTCCAAACAGAATAATTGAAATGTTTTTTTTTTTAGAGGTTAAGGCGTATTTTTGTCAGGTACAGGGGTTATACAAAAAACCTGAAACACCTGGTTTTAGACCATAACATCCCTTTCAGACAGCTTCCTCTTGGGTCCACAGTTGATCCTGTTGGATGTGGTTGGTCCTTCTTGGTGGTATGCTGACATTACCCTGGATACCGTGGCTCTTGATRCATCACAAAGACTTGCTGTCTTGGTCACAGATGCACCAGCAAGAMGTGCACCAATTTGTCCTCTTAACTCTGGTATGTCACCTATAATGTTGTGTGCATTGCAATATTTTGAGCCAAACTGTGCTCTTACCCTGCTAATTGAACCTTCACACTCTGCTCTCAATGTKYAAATAATGAAGATTGGCCACAAGGCTGATCCAATTTAACCACGAAACCTCCCACACTAAAATGACAGGTGTTTCAGTTTTTTTTGTCTAACCCCTGTATGTTTGCTGCTGTTTTCTGGTGGATAGTGAAAGGTGGAGGTCATAGTTTACTCAACTTTATTTTGGTATGTCTGTGTCAATATTGTCCCAGAGACTTGACAAAGCTTGTATTCTACAGCAAGCTCAGCAGTATCCAAAACGTGATCCGTCCTCTTGTTCAGCCGTGGACCTTTTGGAGTTAAATCCTAGTTTGGATCATGTCACAAGAACTGAACATGTCTTTTGGTAACACTCAGAAAAATAGCACAACCTGAAAAATGCATACGTTCACATACCTAGATCTTTTTATTGCAACTTGTTTGTTCTTTCATATCTTCATTTTTCTGTATTGTCCTGATGACTGTGCAGGGTTGTGTGGATGTGGGGCCTATCGGTCACTGGGTGACAGGCAGGGTGCACCCTCAGTGTATTTATATGTGCCAGGGGCCACATATATAGACAAACAACCAAGCACACACACACACACACACACACATACCCCTTTAGGGTAATTATGCATTTTCAAGTCAGCTAAAATGCGCGGACAGTGAGAGACCAAAGGAGCAGAAAATCCACACATGCATGGGGAGAACATACAAAGCTGAAAGTCCTCAGGCAAGTTTCAAATGTGATTTTCTTATGCCATGAGGCAACAATGCTAACCAACTGTTTCACTGTGCAGATACCTTTTTGTCAGTAAAATAGGAAGTTTGTAAATCAGTACATTTATTACTGAACATGGGTGAGAAAAGCTCACAAAAAATTCTTCCTGTAAAGCCTGCTGTATTGTAGACAAAATAAGACAGATGTGTTCATTTTGTGCTGTTTGCACTTATAAATATTCTGCTCATTTCTTCAGTCCTGTATTTCATTGCACATAAATATGCATTTAAGCGGCACGGTGGCTCAGTTGGTAGAGCTGATGCCTCTCAGCAAGAAGGTCACCGGATCAAATCCCGGCTCGGGGACCTTTCTTGGTAGAGTTTGCAAGTTCTCTCTGTGCATGCATGGGTTCGCTCCGGGTACTCCGGCTTCCTCCCACAGACCAAAAAACAAACAAACAAACAAAAAAAAAAAAAAAACATGACTGTTAGGTTAATTGATAACTCTAAATTGTCCCTAGGTGTGAGTGAGAGAGTGAATGGTTTGTTTGT